CTGTGCATCTGCTGCACCTTTGTGGGGACATGCAGGGACCCCAGGAGCCCCTTGGCTGAACTGGCTGGAATTTGATGGGTATAAAACACCGGTGGGAAAACGAGAACGAAGCATGGAGGAGGACTCCTAGCCTCCACCTCCAGCTTTGAAATGGGATGCAAACGGCCCGGAGCCGGTGATGCTTTGCATCGCCTTCGGGGCTCGGTGCCCGCCAGCGCTGCAAAGCCCCGTCTGCGGCGCGATGGCCGCGGCTGGAGGCTGCAAGGTCCCCCCTTTGTCTGTCTGCAGGGAAATCGTGGTTTCCCAGCCACGCAGAAGACACCCAGCTGCATCCCCCGTGTCCACCCCCGGTGTCTGATCCTTCGCTTTAATCCTTGAATCTCGCCCTTGCTTACCCCATTCGAGCAACCTGAGCGTGCGATTCCTGGCTGGAGGCTGGTTTACCCTCTTCCCGCAGCCTCTGGGCTACGTTTCCCTTCGCTTCAGCAGCTCCTGGAGCAGCTCCCGTGCTGCTAGGACCCTGCTTTCCTGCTCCTGGCAGCACACATCCATCAACACCCAAAGCAAGCAACACCTTCGCTGCGCAGCCTTCCTCTCCTCTCCCTGACCTCGGCACCTCCGGAGGGAAAAAAACCTCTTTGCTCCCACCCTCGAGGACTCGCTGCCTACTCCTTAATTTACCGTCGGTGTGCAGGAGCCGTCTCCTCTCCGTCCTCCTGCCTGCTGCGATCTCTGGCGCTCAGTTAATTTGCTTTAGCTCAATGCTGCAGACTCATTGGCAACCCCTGATTTACTCCTGGCACCGGGAGGATTTGGGGTTTACGTCCTCTCCAGACCCAGGAATGCTTTGCCGGTTCCTCAGCGAGTGCAGTCCCAGGGCTTCAAGCATCCTGGCCGCTGGGAGAGGAGGCTGAAGGAGGCGGTTTAGGAGAGGAGCCCGTTTTCTAGATGCTCTGAATTGCAACGGACCTTCTGAAATGCCATTGCTCAGGAGCTCCCGGAATCAGAACGCTTGCTTGCGAGACTGAAGATGGAGTTAACAGGTAGCTGGGTGGAGAAAGAGGGATCTAAAAGAGCAGAGGGGTTGTAAGACCAGGATGGATGAGCTGATCAGAGGAGAACAGCGGAAAAGGGACATTAATGGTCCTAGGACATGTCAAGAAGGATGTTTCCCTCGGGAGTAAGGAAGGATTTGTGGCTGGAGCAGCAGGTGCTGGTGTGACCTTGCTGGGACACTGTGGCCACTTCTGTCTGGGGACAATAAATTCAGATTCATGCAGTCTCCAGCAGTAGCAGGAGGATGTTTTACGAGCTGATCCTACAGAGCTTGGCTTCCCGAGTTTAGCAAAATGAAGATGAAAGAGGACACAACTCCTGCCTGCAAACACAGGTGAGGGGAAATACAAACCAAGGAGAGAGAAAAGCTCTTAAAGAGCAGCGTTAGCACAAGGACAAGGGGCAGCAAACATCCCGGAATAACTTGGGCTGGAGATCAGGAGAGCCCAGCCCTTGGAGGGAGGAGGTTCGGGAACAAAAGGGCAAACCACCGTTCCAACACGTACCTGGTGATGTTCACGCAAGGGCGAGCAGCCTGTGGCATCCTACGTCCTCCGAAAGTGCCGTAGACGAGGAAATACACCGATAAAATACAATTACTCCTGACTGGGGAGCAGCACTATTCGCAGCACGGGGTGGAGGGTCCAGCCATGGGTTGACCCTAATACTTTCCCCCTGATGGGACTAGAGAAATGCATCTCTCTGCCCGCTGGTCCCCGTTGCCTCTGGGCTACCATCGTGGATATGGTGACAGAGAAGCTCCCCCAAAGTTTATTTTTTTCATCCCACTATTCTTTTCTAAAAGTTAAATTATGATGGTTATGCTGCTACGATTAATTCAGGGCTTTTTCCTACCCAGTAACGTCCCGAAGCCTTTGGCATTGTTTAACATTCCAATTATTCAACTCCAACCCATGACAACAAAAAAAAAAAAAAAAAAGGGGAGGGAAAAGCGGGGGAGGGCGGCAGCCTTACCGAAACCTGGGGCACGGCTGTACGGGCGCCAAGGGAAGCCATCTAAAATGAATGTCACACCTGGTTATAAATAGGGTGGCATGCGTCGCTGTGCCCATTAACGTAGTGACACGTCCCGTGGCGATGCATTAACCCTTTCCCTTGCCTTCCCATGGGGCTAAATATAGGCTGCCCAGCTACAGCAGCATCATTTTCTGGCTCCGTCAGTGGATGGAAATCACCAATACACAGCAATTAAACCACAGCCATTACTCAACATCGGGCCGCTCTTTCACCTAGGACATCTAGCAGCAGAGACTATTTGACCCGAGCAAAGATACCCAAATTACCGTGTAATGAACCCACGCTCATTCTGGTGAGATAGCTCCAGGTCTGCGTTGCCACATCCCAAATTTCAGCGATCCTGTGTTTCAGAAGGCAGCGCCGCACCTAGAGAGACAGCACCAAGCTCCCACTATCCACGTTTATTATAGAGCTAAGCGACAGAGCCAGCATGCCCCCTGTTTTAGCCCTGTTTGGGCTGTACGTCCTCCTAGGAAGCAGCAGAATTATCTATATTTATGCATGGATAGAGAGGAGGCAGGTGCTCATAAACAGTCTGCAAAACAGAGACTATTCAAAATTTCTGGGAAATAACTTCTGCTCCCTGAGTTTTGTCTACTCTGTCATGTAATGGTTTGGTTTAGTGTCTTAAAACCGAATTGGCCATTTATTTAAGGCTGAATAAGCATGGAAAAGGGAGATTTCAAGTATTGCTCTTGTTATGGAGATAAAATCAGTCCTAAGAAAAGTGCAAATACAGACAAATGCAAAGGGATAAGAGGCAGGAAATCCTTTATTGAAGGGGTAAAGGCAGAGTCACAAACAGACTGTTCTCAAAGTTAAAAACAAATACAAACAAAAGGCTAAAAACCAGAAAATTATATCCCTCCCCCCTCCCCGTTACAATGAAAGTCCAAAGCTGAATTTGGGCTGGGTTTGTTATGCTTACACAGCTCGGTTGGCCATCGCACCCTGATTTGGGGGCACCAGGGAGGAGGGAGACCCCAGCCACGTACCAAAGTGGTGACACGATGAGCAGAGACGTCCCCTCTCCGACCCTGCTGCGGGTTTCGGAGTGAGAGCAGCATGGTAAAACACAGTATTTATTTTTTTTTTTTTCCCCTTCCCCCCC